AATGTAGGACTTAGATGTTTTGGGAAAGTATAATTTAGTGTTACTTTGTTGATTAAGAAAACCAAAAGGCGAGATAGAAAACAACACAGTCTCACTTTGTGACGAAGACACAAACTATCATGAAAAATATCTTCTATGATCTCTTAGTAAACTTCTACCTAAACTTTTGTTAAATGAATCTGAAACATAACTTCCTTAAGTGTGTGAGATTTCGTTTCTATTGCTTCGGTCTAGTGATTCAGCTTTTGTGGTTTGATTCTCACAAATAAAATATTCATAAACACCTCACTTTTATGATACCACTAGACGGTTTGATTTAAATCAACTGATGCTGTCGAACACTTCTTACTGCTCAGTAAACAATATATCTGAAAACATCTAAAAATATCGCAAATCGCCATGCAAACTTCTCTGTCTCTTTTGTTAGTCTTCAACAGCCTCCTTGAATATATTCACAGGCAAGTGACTTCATAAATTGATTGGAAAGATGTCTTCAGCATAAATTAGTATCATACTGTGACTTACTAATTTTTGTGGAGTATTCGATACTCCACTGAGTAATTCTGAGTCAACGAACTATTTTCATCATTGAGAAGATGTGTGAACCGTTTTAACTACCATAAATTACTGACCCACAGGCGTAATAAGAGTGTTAAACTGATAACCTGAACGTATGAACCACAGGGATGCATTTTAAATTCTTTAGGTTAAGAAAGTGAGTGTATCATGACCAAAGTTACAAATACTGAAACATTGAATTACTAACTAGAACGACACAAACAAGTGAGGGAATTAAAATGATTTATTGACATAACCAAACTTTTCTGAGTGTACTTTGAAACATGCAACTCATAAAATGTTATTGTGTTTTTTTGCATACTCAATGCTTTGAATTCTACCATGGACACATGGATTCACAATCCTTAGCTTTTTCATCCATCAGAGTTATCACTGGTTTATGAATACACTATAGAATTATTTTTTTTCTTCACTTTTATGGAATTAGTTCGTTCACAAACGGATCGAGTTGGGACCTTGCTGAGTAGTAGATCGGTTCAATTCACTTGAAATAGTACCAGCACAAAAAAATGAAGTCAAATAACTAAGTCAACATTTAAACAAACAAGAGTAATTTACAAGACAAGAAAATAGGGGAATAAGTAATAAGTTGTTCATGGCTTTAAAAGTGATAAGAAGCGGTATTACAGAAGTCCCTCAACCACTGCATCCCAGAAATTCATGTTTCCCAGCCCTTGAAAGATTTGAAAAAAATAATTTTGGACAAGTTCATCGAATAAACTGGCGTCATTTTATTTCATGGATATTCATCAACTGCATGAAATCTAAAATCATATACCGTAGTCAAGATAAATGATAATTTATACATGATTAGATGTATAATCCTAGTTCTATAAAGACGTTGGTAAACGAAAAAAGACTTAAAGGAAGAGTTACTGAATAATCAGTAAGCATCAATATATGGCCAAAACCCATAAACAGAATGGAAGGAATGATGTAACCCAAATAAAGACGAATTATCAGGATACAGGAAGAGTAACTAGTCTTCTATTCTGTACAAAGGTTAGGTTTGACACGTAAGATTGCAAGGATTTCAGAAAAAAATAGAGAATTGAAAAGTTGCTGCTACTCTATCCAGAGGCCGCTCATTTCCAGTTTATCAAACAATTATACTGGCAAACTGGTCCTGCGGTCAACACTAGAACTTATTCTAGATTATCTGCACGTACTACACTAACAGTTTGTAATTTCATACATTGATTCTGTTTCTTAGTCTAGTGATGCTGATAATTATTCCAATTTATCATTACTCAAACTAGTAATATTGTCTTGGAATGGACTGTACCTCGGGATGCATAGCAGATTTTCTATTGACACAAGCAGATTAAAATGCACAACCTCATAAACGGAATTGTCTCTGTGTTCAACCTTCATATTCCTGTGATCCCACTTCAATCACACACAGACGATGCACTGAGGTGTAATACAATCTTCTGAAATTCAGCATCTTTATTGATCATATCTCAGCCGTGAAGTCAGGCAAAACGAAACTTTGCTCAGTATTTTCGTTCCAGAATTGTGTATGGTCTTATATCTGAGATCCATCTGAAAATAGACGTATCGATGAATCGGTATATTATGCTGATGGTGATTATTATATTCTATCAACTTCGTTAATAATGACGTGGAATTTCCACATTGAATTCAGTTCGATAAGTGTGAGTACTTTTTTCAGTCATTATATTCAGAAAGCACAGCAGAACTGCAGAATTTGGACAAAATTCCAATCATTAATCTGTTAAACTCACACTTCCTTTTAATGTTTAGGTAACTGAGTTATTACAAGAGGAAAATTGCAATATGCGCTTCGAAAATCTTAAAATTCCACAATTTGCTATGTTTATCTTTTGTTGAACCTGAACGTTTTCCAGTTCACTATGAAGTCTGAAGCCTGAGAGAACATTTCATACATCATCTTTTGTAAAATACTTGTAACTATACTAGTTAAAAGACGAAGAAATTTCAGTTTATTCGAATCACAGAACGACTCATTCTGCTAGGATAATAGACTTTCTTGATCCTAGTGTATCATTTTGACTTTCTTAGCTTAATGAATGATCAAGAAAAAAGAATTCTAGTCAGTATGATGGAAATCTCTACAAAATTAAAGCTGTCACTGGGGTTGTAAAGGAGAATATATTAGATGTAATGTATTATAGAAGCATGGCATTACATGAGCTCGCTCCTCAAACTTGAAGTGGGTTTTTAGACTGTGAAATACGTCTATCGCAAAACGGCTTGAATACACGTGACGACTATGGAGATTAAAATAGGTAGGCTTAAAGTGTAACTCAAGCGTTAAAGTTCGCTTCTAGGTAGTTTTATCGAAATTTTGCGGATCACGTCTTTTGTGACTGACAGAACAGCTGCTTTTATTTTTATCAGTCGAATATGAAAGTATACTCCACTTCACTATACTGCATACTGGCTCATATATATATATATATATATATATATATATATATATATATATATATATATACGTACGAGTGATTTCTTACTTGGAAGGCTTGGGTTTTTATTCTAGAGCTGTTTTCGTCAGCGTTAGTTCCATTTGGATTACTTCTTGGCAAAGAAATGACTAATGTCAAGAGTTCTGTTAGGGAAAATTAATTTTTGAGGAGCAAGATAACTACCATAACTTTAATGTACATATACGCCACGCTCTTACGCTTTTCAGATGTAATTTTTCGGTTGGAGGACCCAGCGCAATCTTATATAGCTGACTATCTTAAGTCATCTAGCTACAATGAGTGTTGAACGTTCTGTGTTCTTCAGCTTCCTTCTAGATATACAACAAGCAATTAATATCTATCAGTAATCTTTTTAGCAAAATCTGAACTGATGTGGGTGGCTTCTAACTTCTTACATATTTTTGAATAACATTTCGTAAGTTACACTCATGTACCACTCATCACAACCTTCAGTCATGGTTGGATACTGATGCTGTAGCAGACAGACAGATAAGCTAGTTTGTTGAGAAGTGACTCAACTCAGGCATATGTCAACATGTGTCGCACAGTCTGCTAATAGTTTCCAAACTATTAATCCAGAGTGACTTTTATTCTAGTATGTCAGTTATTTATCTAACGACCAAAAGGTTAGCATTTATAATGTTCAACCCTCTAGACTTATTACATCACATTGCAAATAAGATAGATAAACTACTACTAGAAAATCAACTACAACTAGTTTAGAGCCGTTATTTCATAATTCCTTGACTATTTGTCACATTTTCAAGGTTTGATAGGCTTGATGAATACCTTGTTGCTAGCTTTTAGTTCTCACTTCGAAGACTACTGTACACCCTATTACTGTAGGAGAATTATATCCGTATATTAGTATTCATTACACTAGACAATAAACAGAAAACGCCAAAATTTTATGTTGGCCTTTTATAATAATACTTAAAGAATATCGAAAATGTACAAATTTTGACAAGAGGTGATTCCGCGATCAAATTATAGGTGAATGAGAATGACTTACTACTACACTAAGATAAACATTACTGACTGCTAGTTACACTCATTCATAGAATAAGTACCTAAACTAATTGAATTCTCTCTACTCTTATGGTGACCATACTGTTGTTACCTTTAAATTTTATGTGATAATTAGGAATTGACCTCGATACAGCATGAGGTGGCTAACCAAAGCGGCACACAGAAAGCTGGATCAGCCCTGCTGGGTTGTTTGCTGACATAATCTTAGCCTGGTGGAAAATGCCCGTTTGATACTGGCCAATCACACTAGCTACAGTGCCAGCGAGACATTCAATAGTCTCCCAAACAACGAATATGTTGTTCAGATGCTTAATTGAATAAAGAGAGAAGGCTACATTTTCCTTGCAACAGTCCTCGAAGTAGCAATGTTCAATTGTGGCTGAATCACAGAATATAGGTAGGTAGAAGTTGAGAGGCTACTTGGTACACAAACAATTCTTCATGTAGTAAATTTTATAGTGGCATCAGGAATAATAGCAGTAGTATTCATTACTGGTAACTGCTTTTGTCCTTGTATCAGTTATCAGAATGAGTTAGAGAAAGCATGTTCCTGTTTCGCTTCGTATTAAATTACAAAAGCAAACTATAAGTCCATTAATATTAAATAATGAGGTCCGGGGATAGAAAATCAGGCAAGAATTCTGTGGCACAACCTTTGAGTAAAAAGGTGAACAGAATGATAATATATTTGCTTCAGTAGAAATAAAACTCAGGATAGATAACAGACATTTACAGGATATACAGGGATACAGAGGATTTCTGTAGTTAGCTTCGACTACAGATTACTTTGAAAAACAGGAAGATAATATCCATTTAGATAAAAGTAACGTCACAAATATATATATATATATATATATATATATATATATATATATATATATATATATATATATATATATAGTGGGTAATAATCACAGATGAGAATCTTAGTAGCAGTAAATCACAGGGTTTCGACTAATTGTGTATGGAAAATAGACTTTTGTTCATTTTGACTTATTAACACACTGGATAATTCTTCTGATCTTAGCAACCAATTTTCATCTCTTTGAATCGTATTTTTTCGACTATCTATGGGTGTATTCAAATGAGTTTTGTTCTCCGTTGTGCTTAAGGATGTTTTTTTCCCATTTGTTGGTGTTGTTTGTACTGGTAACAATGTGCTTTGTACAGTTGTTAGTAGTGGGCTTGTTACTATTAAACTAGGTTCACTGCATACTGCATGTCTGCTAGTGTCAAAAACACTGTCAGCAAAGTTTTCATCGTTAATAAATAAATGTGATTTTCGTTCACAATCTTTTAGTAGAGGACTCTGTATTTCATATGTATGATTATATTCTTTGCAGAAATCTATATGCGTTGTAGAAAAACTTGACTCTGTTATAGCATTCACTGGTTTAGTTACAGAATCTGCTGTAATGAACAAAATGGAATCATTATTGTTGTTTTCTGATGATAAATACTCTGGTACGTGGTGCCTAGAGTGTACAAGATATGATTCTGTGACAGATATACTAACTGGTTTATTTAAATCGTGGAACTCTTCACGATGTGGACTTGTTAAATTAAATTGCGATGATGTTAAATTGGTTGAATTTGGTAAGTCTTTCCTTATTGTATGTTGATTGAGTTTACAGTTATCACTGTTCACATCGGTAGCTATACAAAGCATAGAAGTATCATCTTTAAAAGAAACAGTTCTCGTACTCTCCATTTCTTTAACTGACTCTATACTTTCTAGTAGTAATATTGAGTCTTGTGGGATATTTTGTGAATTCTTTCGGGCTTTTACAGTGTTAGCGATCGGTGCAGTGTTACTGTCACTATTATCAACAATACTGGATGTTGATTTTATTAAAGAGATAGCTTTTACATCACTGACAACTGTTTCAAATTCTTCAATATTCTTCAATTCATTTTCCCAATCTTCCAGTTGTTTTTCAGATATATGCAGCTCACTAGTATGATCATATTCTATGGGATGGGTTTCACATATAACTTCTGAAGTTACATTATGTCTTGAAGGCTTATCTCTAACTATTCCTGATTTATCTGATGGTTTAAGACAAGATGAGGATGAGGAAGACGATTTACTCCTGTTGTGATTATGACTTTGTATGCAATGTTCTTGTTTAACTAATGACTTTTTTGACGATGAATATAAATGACAGTGGTAATGAGAAGGATTTTGATTGTGACTGTATTGATGTGGCATATGATGACAGTGATGGTGATGATGGTGATGTGCTGGATATGGATGGTGATGTGGATGTTGATGATGAGTATGGGCATGAGAATGATGCAGTTGAATAGAGTTGGAAACTTCCTCTTCTTCATTTTCACCACCTCCACCCACTCTGCGTCCAGGTAATTGACCCTTTTGATTTAATAACATTTTTCTGTTTTCATGTTTAGTTTTATAAGCACGTGATTTGAAAACAAGAAATATTGTTATTGACAGTAGTAAGGCGACAATTATTCCGATTAGACTGCATAGTACTGCTGTCCAATGTAAAAATCTTGTGAACGCTACTTGACATTTCATTTCAGCCACATATTCATCATTATTTTTAGGGATATTTATTGACTGTAAATGCTCTGTTCGATTCAAAGATGAGATATCATTGAATGTCAACTGGCTAACACTTGTTTGCTTCATAATAATATGCCTTAGTTGATTATCATTAGAGAAGGACTTATCAATGACTTTTGTAACATTTTGATATAAAGGGGATTTAATTGTTAACGTTTTGTTATTTCGAATTTCTAATGGAGGAAATTTTTTACGTGTAACACGAAAACATATTAAATATTTTGTATCTGGATAAAGATTTTTTAAGTCGAACTCTTTGATTTTATAATCTTGTATAATTTCTTGACCAAGTATACCAACATCCAAGTCATTGTAATACAGAATCTAAAGGTAAAAAAAGCCAAGTTAAAGACTGAATTCAATCGTTAGAATAAAAACTCGCAATTTTATTTTAGTTTTAGATATTAAAAGTTAATCATTATGAAGGCCACCAACTAGGCTTCATGCTTGTTAGCACTCATCAGCAGGTCGCATTTGAAAACTTGAGGAGACTCACTTTTTTTGAAGATTTTAACTCGATTCACTCAATGCTGAAGTCAAATGACTTGTCACTAAGCTATTCACGCCAAAAAGACTACCTGTAGGGCTTGATAACAATGCTATTTACTAACTAGTGCCAAATTTCTGTAAAAATTTGATTTTATGCAAAAGGATTTTCATGATAATTTAGGTTATTAAAATACCCCATAGAAAATTACTTACTCCCTTTCTGTTTCCAGAAATAAGTTTGTAAAAAAACTCGTTTACATAATTAAGTCCTAAGAAAAGCCAGTTGTAAGCTGAATTGTTTACTGATCAAGTCCAACTTCAGGACTAGAAGAAACTTCAAGAAAACACGAGTTTCGTCAGGTTTTTTGTGATAACAAGTGTCAACAAGTAAAAAATAAATGTTCGAGATAATCTTGTTGATTCCCAACAAACAGTTAACATTGAAAACTTTAACGAACTATTGTTTCATTGAACTTAGCAGAAAAACCGGACTAATCCACTCTGGTATACACCTTGGAACTCAAAATCACATCCCCTGAAGCTAGATGATTGGTTTCTCTGAACAAATTAGTATTCTTCCCTTTCCATCACCGAATAATTATGTAATGTAAGCCGGTTAATAGATTAAAAATTCAGTCTGTTGTTACTGAATCAAATAGAATTGCAGAACCTATAGAAGTATTGTTGTGATGAAGAAGTACTTTTTTACTGGACAGTATGGTTCTAATTTTTTAGGCACTAGTAACAGGATTTCTAATATCATCTTAATCTCATACTTATCAACCGTAAATACCCAGTACAATTTGTCACCCAGCTCTCATATATTCATATGCATCTAAATGCACTATCAAAAATCATGCATATGTATAGATAATGTAGGTTTTAACTGCTGATTGTATTATGTGAGATAATCTTGATTAATAAGCTTACGAAATGATGAAAAATTTTAAAGGACAGTTTGTTTACTGTGTCTGGTATTGATCGATAATTTGCAACGATTTTCAGTACTATTTTCTATTCTGAGTTGTCAATTAATCTCCTTAACCTGTTTTTATGAGACTATGTATACGTTACTTTTCATTATTATATGCGAATAATTCCTTGATAAAGTGCCTGAAATTAATCAGTTCCTATGAATCGTTATAAAAACAGTAAAAATGCTTTACCAGAATTCATATTATTGGAACAATGAGGTCTTGAAATTCCATAGTGTTATATTGTGTTCTAAATCACTTTCTCTTTCAATTACATTTTTCGCTTACTAGTTCCAATTATTTCAGTAGGTGAAGTCTTCTCAAGAAATTATCCACTTTCTCATGGACCTAGATTATGTAAAGTTGACAACATGAATCTTACAAATTAAGAACGTTTCAGCTCATCTGCCTTATACGTGTGTTGGATGTTTTGTTTCTGGTTAGTTCTAACGAAAGTGAACTACAAGAATCTTCACATGATCCTTCTACCCTGTTCACGTCGTCATCTGTCCACACGTACTGATACTAGAAATGATCCATTTCATTGCTTATTAATGTACAAACAGGCATTTTATCCTGTAGAAAGTTTTAAATGTGCTTTTCGTTATATCTTCCAGCATACATTAATTACCAAGTTTGTGGATGACACTATTTCCAAAAATTTTCATCAACCAACTTCAAATATGCTACACCAATTTGTTTTCTAGGTGCGCAGAAATGTTATCCGATTAGAAAATCAACTACATAAGGGATGGAGCGTACATGTGTTTTGTGAACCACCCCTTATAAATATATATATATATATATATATATATATATATATATATATATATGTTTAATAACAAGGAACCTCAGGCCATACTTCTGAAGCGTGACCAATTTAGATGTGTAGTCTGAGCAGTAATCGGATCACGTAATCACTTCTCTCAATCATAATTTGATTAAAATAGTTATAAATTAGCCTAGTGGTTAGGAGCCATTTTTTTGTGAAACTCCATACTAAACTTCAATTTGAATCAACTTGTGCAGTGGTTACAGCTGACAGTAGTGATTCTTATTTGATTGATAATGATGAGTGAAATCTGTTCAGAAATCACATCATGACTTAGATGAGACTAGCACCCTTTGTATTGTGGGTGCAGTGTTACAGTTGTTCGACCCTAAAATCCGTCTCTTAATCATATCATATCTCCACTTTAACCATCTGAAAGGATTCAAAGCATGTAAAACTGTTTATTTGATATAGCACCCAATGATAGAGTATATGTTTATATGTTTTTGTCTAATATGCCAACCTGGTTTATGAAAATTAATGGTAGCATAAATTCTACTGGGATTATTAGTTTAGTCGTGAAAGTAATCTACTTGGATTCACCCAGAAATAGCTTCATTCAGAGTATTAGATCAGGAGTGAACTTCCTAATCTAGATAACCGCGTCTATATCAAATATACAAGCTAATATGGAATTAGACAATACTGTGATATCAGTTTCTTCTAACATTAAGGGTTCAAAGCAATCAGCAGTATAGCAGTAAAATTTAGGCATTATGATATATCATAATTTTATTTAACTTTTTCTATCAGATATACAACAGTAAAACGATATGATTTACTGGATAACGCTTTGAGCACAATTTATCGCTGCCTCTTTCGTTAGATAAGAACATAATGATTTTTATTCAATTAATTTTTTGGATAACCTCTAGTTGGTAACTTTCAAAGCCACATTAGTAACTACTGAAATAGCCAACTAAGCTTTTTTATTTCACGGGAAAACTACCTTTCGTGGCAAAACTAAAGAAGTTCATCCACATGCTTTACCTCATAGACTTGCAAACAGCTGATTATAACTTATAAAATTTGTTACGACATTACAAAAGAAATCTTATGTCAATAAAAAGGTAGTTGTTTAGAGCAAACTTGATAAGTTCAATGACAAGTTGGGAAGAGAGCTGCCGATAAAAAAAATGCCTGAAGTAGAATAGGTATCCAAAGTGTCTATTAGATTTTGAAGAAGTGAATTTAATAAGCCAGAAAAAATCTCGGTTAGCGTGAGGCCAATCTCTATACAGCCTCATTCCAAAACTAATGCTATCTCAGAAAGAATTAGCATAAAGCTGTAGGATTCACTAGTCAGGACATAACCAGATAGATCTTTATATTTTGAGTAGCTTGTTTACCAGTGGAGTGTAAAATCTAACTTTGTACGAATTCACGAGTATCTGTTTAAATGAATACTTCAGTAGAATAGAAAAAAAGGCTTGACTAAAAATTTTTTAGAGATTTTTCAACAAACCTCCAAATAAGAGAATCCAGTGATTTGAGCTGTGTGACTGATTATTGTACATCTAACGAACACAGAACGCTAGGTAGATATCTTAAATGTTCAATAAATAGAACAATTATCAACTTCTCTTTTCTGCTGAAGATAACGCAAATGAAAGGCTGAAAACAGATTTATAGGTTCGAAAGAAGCAATCAATAAGATTCCATTATTCCTGGTAACTCATGTAAATCTATTAACATATTCAATCAAATCATCTAATAATAATTTCACTCTTAGTAGTAAGGTTTCAAATACACAATAAACTTCATTTTTATTCCACTGAGCTCAACGCATTATGCTTTATGAACTATGTTTATGAATTATTGTTGGCTCATTCACTGAATCTACTTGTATAATGTTGTTCTTTATTAAACATTCATTTTACTTCTGTCCTAGTTGATTTCCATCGGATGAAAATTTGCTAATTAACAATATATGAATGAAAAAACTTAAGATACTTTGTCTTTGTTTCCATTTGTGCTACTTCCAATATTATTATGGCTTGATATGTTGAACTTGTTTGCCGACTAATTTCATGCTGAAGAACTCAAGTATGCTGAATTCTCATTGTAATCTCATAACGAATTTTGTAAGTTATGAGTAGACCAATAGAACCTGATGCAATAAAATAATAATAATAATTATTATCTCTTCAGTTCATTGTTCTTGATCCTCGCAAAATGAAAGATCACGTAGTTCACTATTTCAGTGATTACTGGTGTGTCTATTAAAGTCACTCCTTCCAGGTAACAGATGATTTACAAAGCTTATGAGCGAATTAAACTGACCTATATGACTGCCACTTAAGAAAAATCAAAATAAGCTGAACAGTCACCTGCACATCCGTCCAATAGTTAATAAGCTATACTTGTGTACGACTGACTAAACTTTGCTAGGTGGGGGGGGGGATTCGGCCTTAGTATCCAATAGTTGAGAGTCAAGTGCCTATACCAATGAAGCAAAGCTCCTATGAGGAACACTTAACATAGTCACCAGATACTTATATTCATACTGTTCAAGTTTTCAGTTCTGATCAAAACGTGTGCATCACAGTAAAGCTGTTTATTCACTTCATCGGTTTGACTGTCTGAGATGGCCGTGGTATAGCAAACTTGAATTGATAGTGGGTGATGATTGAAGGGTGAAGTGAAAATTTGAGCGACAGTAGAAGCTAGCGACCACTGGGTTCGCACCCTGATGATCTATCGATCAATCTACGATACCCGACTGCTGGCCATATTTTTATTTCATTCCAATCACTAATAACTTTGCCCAACTGCCATATGAATTCAGTTCAGATTAGGATCAAAAGTCCTGACTGGGCAGCCATTGTAAGTCCGACCAAGCGATAGTAACGCGTCACGAGTTCACATGGCAGTCGAGAAAAACCCTTGGAGGTTGAGGTGAAATGAAATCTGGTCCACAATCAGGTCTCATAGTTCAGTTGGTGGAGCACTAGGCTGGAAACCTGGTAGTCAATGGTTGGTATCCCGTATTTTCATTTCACGCTCAATCATCATCCAGAAATAATTCATTTCAGTCTAAATGTTATAATTGTAGGATTTATTTTGCCCAGAGATATGTTGATTCTCTCAACTAAACAGTCTGATATATTTTTAATAAATTTTTAATGACAGGTTTATAAACAGTGGTAAGTTTTTTAATTTGGTAATATTTCGAAAAATATTACTGCCCATGAACACACCAACAGTTCCAACCTTTTTTTGTTCAGTTTCAAAATACATGAAATTTTTATTGAAATACACAGTATGAAATTAGATAATATTAAAATGTAGATGAATTGGCTAGACACTTTCTTTTTTCAGATTATAAAGATAGTACCATTGGTAGGAATACCACCCAAAAATTAATAGATATTTAAGGGAAACACAAATTGCACTGAAGAATATTAACACGGAAAATACTGGCGTGATTTGAATCATATTTCAGCGCATATGGAAACGAACAAATAGTAAGTATATCATATCAAGGTGATGCTGCTCATGGACTAATGTCAGTCGGAGAACCACTGAAACATATTAGATCAACCTGAGGTAATGAGTGCATATAAAAAAGATTAGTTGTGATTGGTCAACTGTCAGCCTAAATTTTATTTATGACAATGAATTATCGGTGGAACTACAAGATCTTGCTATCCATGAGAGGTCACCTCAGTGACCCTGAATGGTCTGTCGCATATTCAAGCCAACGAGGACTTCATTTACTTTATTTAAGTATATATTTCATAAAAATAAAAAAAACATTCATCTCCATATCATCCGTCTCACACTGTTTTCTAGTTGTATGAGGTTTCGCAAGTCTGTAATTCCTAAAGTGGATAAAATCATAGAGGGAAAAAATAATATTGGAGTTTGTTTCAGTAATAGGCAGTGCGCTCTAACGCTTAATCAAAACAGAGTTAAACTTCAAAGAAGTTTGCAGTATGTATCAAGCAGTAGGAACAAACAAACAGCTAGGAGGTCGTCTCTTTAGAACTACCACTGAAAAGATAGCCTCCTTATTGTCTGATTGCTGCTTACTTATTGAATCTCGTAGTTTTACACCTTGAAAGGTATTTGTTTATACCCAATGGCCAATTTTGTGATCCATACTCCTAGTTTTACTTCTAAAACTCTTATTCGTAAATCGTGTCAAATGTTTGTGACTGCAACTTATAAGCCACTATACTAGTTTTCATTTTCAAAAATCTAAATCTGAATGAACTGATCATTATTTTACTTGTGACAATAAATGGAATTCTTTACTGTTCCACCACATATCAAAAATCAACAAGTAACCCTCTCATCTCTAACTGGTTATTTCATGGTCTTCAAATTCCTATAGTTCTACCAAATCATCTTATGTTCAGGGCAAATTAATTGAACATCACACAAGAAATGGCATGGAGTCAGGCTTTATGCAGGTAGGTCATCATCACTAAGGTGTACTAGCCACGTTTATGATTTAGACCCTTATATTGAAACACAACCACAGGGATGAACAATTCACATATTCAAATGTATCTTATAGAAAGTCAGTTATGATATAAACCATTCACTACCAATATTTCTGACAGCAGAAGTCAACCTAGTACATTCAAAGTCTAGGTTAAGTACTAGTTTTTGGATTTCGAGAATATTTGGTAATGGATATCACAGAACACCAATCATAATTTCATAACAGTTAAAAGTCACACAAATTCATGTAAAAACAAAACTATACACAACATACTTTGGCTTGCTGAAGCAAATTTTGAGCAATCTCCATAGAACTCCAGTCCCACTTTACTCTTAGCTGTCTATTATCTGAATGTCCAGGTAGAACTTGTAGGTGCGATAATAAACTATATCCATCATCTGCTTTTTCATCCATATTTCTTATTCTAGGTGACATTGGTTTGAAATTAACTTCACTGTAGTCAACGTTTAATAGTAGTTAATACACTGAATACTAAACAATAGAATACAGAGAGGCATAGTTTTCTTCCAATTATCTCCGATGACTTGCAATTTAGCAAAAATCTGTAATCTGAAATGTAAATGCATAAATTATATTCTAAAATGCTTAGTCATCGTAATATATAACTGCTAATTAAGATTTACTTGTTCCCATTAAGTTGAGCTTTGAACTTGGGCACAATTCTTCCGTTTTTGCTCCATCTGAATTTCCAATACTTAAAAACGCTTAGCTCGGTATGGAAAATCTAAAGGGCATAATAATCTCACTCTGAGTAAAGATCTAATTAAATTGTTGAAGGCTTTTATCATTCCACCTTTGATGCATAGGACTGAATTGACTAGCATTCATTAACTGAGGTTTTCCTCACAGAAATACACTGACATTGACAATGATTAAACCTTGATCATGTTTGGCAGTGACTAGTAGTTTGACCTAAAATATGCGTTTCGTCTGGATTGTGATCCATAAATAAAATTTATATTTATGCCACTGGGAACTGATTTTGACACTAAAATTGAATCGACCAGTTCTACATACTAGAGACAGGAGGCATCGAAACCTACATAAATAAATGATGCCTAGTGAAAGTGATCACATTAATTTAGCAACTTAGTTGATACTTGAAATAATTTCAAGTATTTGTGGGAACATCATCACTAGGATTCATGTAGCTAACAAACAGTATCAAAATATTTTTTGAATTTCAATGATTACCAGTACAAACTGTACTCCAACTTCGCCTCAACAGAATCTAGCGTAAACAATCACTATAAAATGTGCACGGCAAACACGATTTATATACTGGCTTTCATTCATTCCTATCTTTATTTAACATAAGCCTGCGAAACTAACTGTCTATTTAAATGGTTCAATGGAAAACCTACAACTGAGATAAAATAACAAGGGGAGAAAAGTTTTAGGAATATAACACAGTCATTTTCCATTAGTTTATGTTATCTAGTAGCAGATTATAGCCATGTTCACCTCATGAAGCGAATACGTAAAAAGAAACTGATAAAAAACGATCTGCTTCTACGCAATTCTCCACGGATACTTCGTGAAACTAGTGTTTAAATAAAGGAAAATGTCACTGATATACATTTCCTGTGTACAATACATCATACAAATATCTCTTAGTATCTAAGGGTAGGGAAAAAAATGAAACCTGTGGGGTTTACTCAGCTTTATAATAACGAAATCGCCACAATCCGATTTAAACAAACGGAAAGTAAGTGTGAACAATCCATCACTACCATAAGAACCGTACACCTGTGTTAACTACACCTTACATCACAGTGATAATTCCACCAAGACCATCCACCTGAGCTACAAATGTTCTCCACCATTTTATAATTTCACTCAAACGACATTTGAGTTACTTTTCAAGCTCATAAAATCCTTTAGTTGACTAGCAGACCCTGTATCTTACACTCTTGTCCATCTGATTACAAATACATGGATCTTTAACTGGACATACACAGATTTCTGTTTTATCATACATAAAAATTGTTATTGGTGCCAGCCGTCATTTGTAATACTTTATTTTTTACTCATTTTTATGACAAACTGTCTGAATGTGATCAGATAGACATTTCAATTTTCATTACTTTCGGAAACGACATGTAATTTTCAGTTGTCTGTAGTCAATAAGAAACAGTTACGTAGAATATGAGTTGACATATTCCACACATTGTTTTGTTATTCATCTCTGATAATCAAAGACATTCAAGAGGAGCTAAGTTTCGCGCTTCTTTTTTTCCTAATTAAAAAAATGCGGTAAATATTAAGAATTCAAAAAACCTTTAATGAAGACGGTAAAATGCAACGCTTCCTCAACAAAAGCAATATAATAACAATATTACTGAATAATTAGGTGACTCTTGACAAGTGGAGTTACAACTTATGACAAATGATAAGGTGTTGGATTTATTATGGCTGTAATTATGCTAATGCGCAAATGAATAGCAGACCGAGCTACTTGGTCTGTAAATCTTTTATACTTCTGTTTCAATACTTTCACAATCACAGCCATAAAAATTCCCTAACTACGCTACTCGTTTTTTTATTTTAAATTAAATCTTCAAAATTCGCATTATAACTTAAAAGCCATTTTAGTGAACAAAGAATATCCATTTGGATAACGTATTCAGGTCCTAGAGTTGTATGTACATGATGAGGAATTATGCGTCAACAATATTAATGACAGAATCCACTGTTATTGGGATTCAGTTCGAAATAATTGATTATCTAAATGATTATACTGTATGGGCAGTGCTATAAGGTGATACTTTAATGAAGCAATGGGAAGGTGTTAATAAGAAATTAATTTGAGCAGTAACAGCTTGATAGAATGTTACTCATATTAGGGGACAAAATAGATAAGGAGGATTTGTTAAAATTATTTTGGATTATAGGGATGAAGGAGTATGTACAGTATGGAATTGGATGTGTAGGATGGTGTAGGATGCTAATGAATTTCTGCTTCCCGAATCGGGCCACAGTAGTTTAACGGCAGCACTGCATATAACTACGTAATTGTATGACCTGAAGTAGAAGTTATCGAAAAGAATATTCTTCATTCACTCAGATGTTTTTTAAGTAGCTATTTAATACTATTAGCATTTTAGACGAAGTTTTTCGGAGTGCAGTCACAACTTTCACTAGATGGTGCCGTTTCAAATGCATGTAAACCCCTGTTTAGTTAATTTAGCGCAAATTAATTCATTTATCAAGTTGTCTGAGATTAAGAATGATTTCGGATACTTGTTAAACATTTATTACGGTTTACACAGGGAATAAGCATTATAGTGATCGACTACTAGAAACTAAACAGTGTTATACTGTTTATTCATATGTTCTGAATTAACTCTGTCAATTATTGTAGCAATCTGGTCACTAATCTGGAAAACTTACCACTGTGATTCCCCTTGGTCGATGTTTATTGGTTACAGACAGATGGTAAGAAACATCAGTTTACCAGAAGTTGCTTAAGAGTATGAAAATAAAAGAAGACATAGTTTAAGTAGTAATTTCTGTCAACCATCTCCAAGTACCTTACAGATTTGGCCTACAAAATAAAGGGGAATTGGTAGCACAGAAAATGTTTTTAAGTAGTGGATTTACGTGTTAGTTACCAAACAAACTACTGGAGCTTATTCTTAGAAAGTCTGAAAAAACCTTTTCCATTGATGGAAAAAAACGTTTTCGAACAAAGAAAAGAATTATTCCGCTTATTATATATTGTGAATAGCTGTGACGTTGAATTTCTGTTGTGCGATGCCAAAACTAAAAATTTCATAAAGCAGAACAAATCATCGATTTTCACAAAAACATATTTCAACATGCAGAAGTTACAAACTGGCACGAAACAGCTGTAGTGTTCTTTGGTTCCAATGTTTCTGTGTATTACATGACTTTGGTCTGAAAACTTTAGAACATATGTATTTTACTCCAGCATTTTTTCGTTATAAGATAAAAATATTTAAAAGAGTATTCCGAGAGGAAGTCGCTAACTAGAAGATTGTAAATTCTGTTTACACATCCATGAAGTAGACAATATAGGTAATACTCATACTTTTCTGAAGCACATTTTGTACATGTTGACACTGGTGGATATGGTAGGTTATGGATGCTTAGTCTGAATACCAGTTGAACAAAATATGATACTGGGCAAACTCGCTCGGCTAACACAAGGTAGAATATAAAACTGGACTGAAGAGGTTTACTTCAATCAGAAGAGTATGAAAATAGAGGTACATTAAAAGTGGAAAAGCAGCTAATGGGGAAAAAGCCTAACTGAGAGCGGTAAAAACAGGTGATGTAAATAAGGCGGGGAGGCAAATCTAAAAAAGTGAAATTCAAATTTCTGCCAGGTAGTTTTTATGAATTTAGGCACAAAGGGTTCATTTTCAGGGATCTAATAACCCAAACACCTGTCTCTGGTTCAAGCCTCATAAAAATATCTAACAAATGGTTAATAAGTATATGTGTAAACAAAAAGGGATTTTCGCCCATTTTTCCCTTTTTAATGATGAAAGTACCACGCAAGCCAACTTATGAATTCTTACTTGTTTTTGAAAGCTGTTTGCATGACACTAATGAGTTGTAGTGAATCAGTTTATGGATTTCCAAACTTTCTAACACTCACAGTGTAGCATATGCTACTGGTAATAATCTGTTTAGGAAGTCTATAACGCAACGTCTTCAACAGAAGTCACAAAAGCAAATGATCAACTAACGAAACATTTTTCGGGTAAAATCAGGCAAAATGGTGAGTAATATGGAAAAGAAAAAGAAGCCGGAAGAGAAAAGAGCTAGAATGCAAAAGTTAATTGTGCCTCCAGTTGTTGTTCTTAACAAAAGATGTTAGAGATGAATGAATGTGCCATGAATTAGCTTTTGTTCCTTTTAATAGGATGGATTACTTATGTTGTGTGATCAAAAAGACCATTTTATCCATTATAAATGGAAACATTTACAAACTAATTTATTAGATATCACTAATGTATCCTGCCAAATTCATGGTAAAGCATATGAACTAGATGACAGTTAGACTAACAATAATTGCAGCCTCTAGAAATCTTGAAAGTTAAGTTCGACGACGATACCATCAGCCAGATTATAATGCGACATCTGAGAAAAGCTTTTCAGGGAACATTCATCACTACTAAGTTATATTCTTTCTTCTTAAGTTTGCCGATTATAGGTGCAGGTTGTATAGATAGACATCCTATCTCTGCCTGTTTTATGTTGCATTTATCAGCTTAACTGCTCCTATAGCGGTAGTTGTGTACCGCATAATTCTAGGCGAGTCCATTGTAGAATATCTGAAAATCATCGATCGTGACTGAGTAAAGGATAGATAAGGACAATAAAGAGCTCAGTGCTTGCACTCTCGGCAGATACTGGTCACT